AGTAAACCCAAAGCAGAAGAAGAAGAAGTGACGTCAGCGGCTTCATTTGTTCTCATGAACTAAGTTCTCATGAACCTTTGTGGGAAAAGTACTGCGGTGTGAATGCGCCTAATGGTATACTAAAATCCATGTGAAAAAAATTGCTTCTCACTGTTCTTAGGTCAAATATTTATATGCGATTAAAAATGCGATTAATTTCGATTAATTAATTACAAAGCCTCTAATTAATTAGATTATTTTTTTTAATCGAGTCCCGGCTCTAATTATTATCAATATGATGTCGGATTGCATTTTTCTAGAAGTTGTTGACAATGTTAATTAACAAAATGAGCTCTGGTGATCTGTTAGGACGTGAAGATTCGTGGCGCACTCATAACGCGCAGGCCATGATTGATTTTTACTGTTGGGACTCGGGTTTGAGTCCAGCATGAACTTTTTTGTTATTTTCATGTCGATGCACATTGAATATTATGTTTGAATAGAGGATTCGTAATATTGTTTGCCGACACCAACATTCACGACCAAGCAGCATTTTAAAGTCTAAATATCCCCAATGACATTTCTGCTGCTATCTTTGCAAAACGAGGTAACAGTCACATCTTATCTGGATGAGTGCTGCACAATAAGGGATACATGTGTGGGTAGTCTTTCATATTAAACATGATCGCTGGTAGATAGCCACAGAAATCGTAACACATTTGAACCTGGGCGGGTCACATTTGAACCTGGGCGGGTCCCAGTTCCGTGGGAGGATCACAGTTTAACACAGATGAAGACTTCTCCACGCTGCTTTCAAACTGTGAGTAAACACCGTGTGCTTCACTTGGAGGCTGTCTGAAGGTATACACAGATGGACTTGGACATTAACAACGATATTCCGTAATAAGTCTGGAAACAATAGCTGGTTTAAATGATTTATTCGAGCAACTCGTTTGTCTTGTTGTCGTCCTCGCTGTTCGCGTCTGGATATCGCCATCGTAACCACAACCTCACACACTGGTACTGGATGTGCATCAACGTGTTCCTAAGAAGCCAAATATACCAAAAATATGTTTGTAAACGACAGAAGAAAGCGATCGAAATGTGTATTTCAGTCGAAAGCCACGCACCCCACGGAAACGAGTTGATCGGGAAACAAGTTGATCCGGAAACAAGTTAATCCGGAACACCGGCCGACAGTAAAAATAAACATATTTATAACTAGTTTAGGTAGTTTGAGAGGTGTCTCCGTCCTGTCAGATTAGACTTCACTTGTGTTTATGTCCATATCGAGAGAAAGATAAATAATCTGAATTCAGTGTGCAGGTTACTTTGACGCGGGGGGTGAGCAGCAGAGGTGGGGAGAGGCGGGGCTATTGTCTCATCATTATCAGAAAATGATCGTATAGGGCGTACACACTGAGCCGTTTGGACCCCCCAGAGCGTTGCGTATGCCGTTCTATCCACCTTGGGACCCGTTATCGTTACCGTAGTCGTTTAGTGCCGTATTTCGGTCGTCCTCGTGTGGCCGAATGGTCTATATGACACTAAACAGTAACGCAAACGACCGTTTTCGTCCTCGTGTGGCCGGGGGCCTTAATATCACTTATTTTCCTCTTTTTAACCATCAGATTAGAATGCTATGAATGCATGTTAATAACAATACAAATGATGGAGACAGCCTCAGTGGGTACTATTGAAAAGGAAAGGGAAAAACTGAGATTTTCTGAGAATAAATTACCAAATGTACAAGAAGATTGTAATTGTTCCTCATACTAAACATTTTCTTCTGAATACTAAAAGTGTTCTTCTTTATACTGCGAGTGTTGACCTCTTCATGCAGAAGTGTCTCAGCAGATTTGTCAGCCTATTAAATGAAAATAGATGTGAAGCCCTAAAGGTCAAGACGAGGAGATTGTGTATTGTCAGCCTCAGGAGTGGAGTCTTCATCCAACAGAGAATAAGTGATGCTGCAATGCACCACCAGTTACACCGCTCTGATAAACCTCTCTAAGACGTGTTGAAATCAGCCAACATCAACTACTGTGCATAGAAAACATGTCACTCTAAATGCTAATATGGAGTAGTGTTGCACGGTTTGTTTGTGATACCGATACTTGAAAGGTACCGCGATATACCCTGCCGTTAAAAACGGTACGATTCCTCCGTTTCATTAGTATCTGTACTTTAAGAATGACAGGGAAAAGTACTCTGGTGAGAAAGCGCCGTGTGTGTTTAGCGCTCTGCTTCCACTCCCTGCACTGCAGCCGTGCCTGCAGTCCCGCCCCTCTCAAGCACGTTCTAAGTCCCTCCCCTCTCTTGTGCACTCGGCCACGCGCTAGCTGCCAGAGCATGTGAGAAAACGAGAAGCATGGCTGCAAGTGGGAGTGCAGCTGCCGCTGCGCCTCGGCTTGTTGACACAAAAGACGCCAGAAGCGACATTTGGAAGTATTTGAGCTATATCTCTGACAGTGAGGGCAAGCCTACGGACACCACGAGGCCTGTCTGTGAGAAATGTTTTAGATCCCTGCAAACCAAGGGAGCCAACACATCAGACTTGGCTAAGCACCCGCCGACCGGAATCCAGAGCTGTTTAAATAATTTAAAGACAGACAGGTTAGCGAATGTGATAGATAACATAATTACATCGTGCTCAAGCCCATGCCCTCACATCTAAGTCAAACAAGTGTAATTTATTTTGTGACAAACGAACGTTTTCGTAGTTTGACGAAGCAAACTTACCAATGTGGCTAACATCTGCAATGTACATTTTGTCAATAATTATTTATATTACTGTACATGTTAATATAATATAAAAAAAATTATATTTTATAAAACAGAAAAGTTGTTTGAGATGATGCTTAATTTTATTTAATACGAATTCTTGTCATTTATTTTGTTTATTGTTCTCATTGTTTAAAGGTTTGTGTTATGGTTATGGTTCTGGTGTGAAATAAAGCACAATAATTACATTTAAGACTGTTTCCCTTTTTTTAAGAAAAGTATCGAAAAAGAATCGGAATCGCAATTCTTGACTTGGTATCGGTATCGAAACCAAAATGTTGGTATCGTGACAACACTAATATGGAGTAGTGCAATATCAAAATCACACTGTTAAGAATTCTACCTAACACACACATTTTGGTAAAGGCGAAGATATCAGAAAAAAATCATTCCAAATGTTATATCTTACATTAATAGTAATGTTTTAAAAATGATCATTCCCTCTTATTTTTACTAAGTATATCTTAATTGTAATATCAGTCAAAATGATCGCAAGTAAGTAGTTTGTCTGACTCTACACTGTGCAGCCCCAGAGCATATCAGAGCATTTAAAGCTGTAACAACTCCTGTGTTTAATGAATTACACAATTGTGTTTTGCTGGATTTGATGAGTTTCACTTTTAATTTGTAGGAACAAGACTGTTACAGTTCAGCTCCAGAACTTAGTGGAAGTGAGCACAGATCCAAGATGAGGTTCAGGTCTTTATCTCCACTGGTCTCTATAGAGATCAGCAGACGTCATTCAGTGGACGTTTATGATCCGTAGGGTGCGGACATACAGTCACAAAGCTGCTGTCTCACCAGTCACTTACTCTCAGGTTAGCTTACACTGCCAAGCCTCTGAGCACAGAGCACCAATCAATGGGCCGTTTCTCACATACTACACAAAGGAGGGCAGGTCGAAATATATCACCTATTTCCTCAAAACACAGTTTATCACCTGCTCTAAGTAATGAATAACTTTTGAATGTTGTCCAATGACAAAATGAATTAAATGACTATAACAAATAACACACATGTTGCCTATGAGACGATGGTGTTGCTATATTTAATGAAATGTCAGAAAGTGTGTTTATACTCAGCTGATCAAAGTATCATTCTGTCTTCAGGATTGAAAATGCAGTATAAAACTGTGTGGTATCAGTCGGGTTTCAAACCATGTCCAGTGTTTGAAATCACTGTAAACATACCAATAACTTCAGAGACATTCTTGCTCTCCACAGAAACAGTTGGGTGTTTTGTGTTTGTTTCCCGCTGCAGGCAGAACAAACCCAAAGCAGGATATTTACTGATGATGATACTGATGAACGTTGCAATGGAAACTGATCAGAGCGATAACGGTTTCGTTATGAGTCTCTTCCTTCCAAACAGATAAGAATTTCTCTCCTGATATATATCTTTTTCACTCATATGGAAAAATAAATGATGCTGCTCATCACCCTGAGTCAACAAACAGCTCAGATCAACAACAGATATTTACATGTGTGTTTGTGTGCGTGCGAGGAGAGGACGGAGAACCTAGCAGGACCATAATGACAGCAAACCAGGACTCAGCATATACTTTGAAATGTTTCTTAGAGACTCGACTCCTGCTTGGCCCTTTAAGCTCAGCATTTCTTGGCTCTTCTAAATCGCCTTTATAGAAACTGCAGCACCAATTGATCTGGGCACACTTCATACGCTGAGAAAACTGAACTGTTAACTTGAATTAAATGTATTATGTCAACAAATGTCACGTAACTGTATTTTTGTATGTTTGTTAAATGCAATAATAGTATGCACATGACATTTGTGCACGTCTGCACAGCCCTCCACTTTAAAATATCATTCACTGTAGTTTGCCATGTATTGTCATATTCTCATTGTCTTAAGTGTTTTAGCATTTTTAGCTTTTAAGGTTCTTTGTATATTTAAATTTGGTGTAAATACTTGTCTTCAGTATTCTTTTTTTACCTACTTTTGCAACTTATTTTCTTAAGTTATTATGTTGGCACCACCCGTTACCAAAGCACATTCCTTGTATGTTTAAATGTACCTGGCAATAAACCTGATTCTGATTCTGTTGAACCTGATCTGTTTTCTTATTAAACGTAAATCTGCTGACATATTACATTTAACTAAAGTCAACGTTTTTTCAGAGCAGAAAGCCCTCTTGAAATGTTTACAGTAATCCTGCTATAAACCTAACTAAAAACCTAGCCCCTCTGGTGGGTTATTGAGGCTCAACGTGCGCTCACCCTCATGCCGAGCACCAGGAAGCCGATCTCCTCCATCAGCGGGTACTTCCTGATCTGCTGCTCCCGTTTCTCCTGCGAGGCGAACGGGTCGTAGCTCCTCTGGCCCAGCTTCACGTCCATGATGCACGGCTTCACAAAGCGCCGCGTCACGTCCTCCAGCTTCAGGTACAGGTCTGAGGCGGGGGGGGTGATGTTATTACAAGTTAAGCATTAATATGCAAAGTCATGCTGAACAGAGAATGCATCATCAACTTGTACTGAGCTGCTGAGTCCATTTGTTGGTTAAGAAAATAAATGTTCACACAGAACTTCATTTCCCACGGTTTCTTTAAAATGTTGACAGCTCATGTTCTGATATTTATAAAGACGTATAAAGAACGAGCCCAAGGTATACTTTGCAGATGTTGATATGGTTGTGTAGAAGAGTGGTGATGAGGAGTTATCGATAGTGTTTTTATAGGAGACTGATGTTGGCTTTTTATTTCTTTTATAAACAAACCCATATGGCTCATGTGAACGGTAAGAAAGAAGCTTTCCCCTGAAATGGACTGCATGTTAACAGGTTTCTCCACATCTCCATCTCTGAGTCTCACCGTTGGGGCTGTCAGGAGAGGACCAGGTGCCGTAGTACTTGGGCAGATGGCTCTGGAGCTCCAGAAGGCATGGATCACAGCAGTCCTCTGCATACACCTAGGACACACACACACACACACACACACATTACCACCTTCATACTATACAGTACATACAGATGGATAGCAAACTATATATCTGTCGCCGTCATTTCTGTTCTGAAAAGATTGGTGCCAGTCAGTTTGTCTGGAAAGATGTTAAAGTCCTGGACATTGGGGGAGACATTCTGGTCGAATATTATCTATGTATAATTGAATTGAGAAACAATTGATAGGAAGGCTATTCACAATGACGCCGTAACCCAGTTTGAAGCCTTCATTTTGTTTTTAATATAAAATATACTGAATAAAAAACCCTTTGTAAACAAACAAAACAAACCATGTAGGGCTGTCTGGCTGATCATATTTGAATTAGGGTTGCTTTTGCAGAGAATCCTCTCTCTGCCGGCACCCTAGAGACGAGATGACAGCAAGTCTGACACTTCTGAGGACTTCACAGGCCGTTGAGAAATCACAGTGATGGTATCTTGTTGCATGCTTGTGGCGTCAGTGAAAGGATCTCATGCTGACTCATCTATACAGCAGGCTTTTTAACTAGACACTATATTAATAAATGTCAGATTCCAACAGATTTTCCCGGTCAGAGTCTGGGAAGGGAACACTGGCTGCAACTAACCATTCTCTTCATTATGCTTTACTCTGGTTACTTTTTGGATTACCCAATGTTAGTTCAGCCTATTAACAGATATTCTGAAAGGAATCTGGGAAATAAGAAAATACTGGAAAATATCCCAATTTGAAGTCCAAGGTGCCCTTTCTCTGACAGACATAAAACATGGATACACTTCAATTCATGGAATCACTGAACTAATGACAGAGGGGTCTTTGGTCAGGAAGCACAATCTGAATTTGTAAGATGAAAATGGGGAAAATTCTGCGAACATTTCTCAGCAGCTTGTCTTGTTATAGTTACTTCACCTAGAGTCGGGAGTCGGGTGGGTTGAGATGTGTGTGTTGGGATTAGTGGGGCTGGTTGGGTGAAGGCGGACGTGATAACATGACTCACTCAGTTAGTTTGAGAGTTGCTGAGGCTGACAGAGATGCTAAGCTCTAAAGCAAATACTGAGCAGCACACACACCTGTCACAGAGAATGACATAGTCCGCTATGGAATGTCTGATATCTTTACTGAGCATTAAGACAAGGGGTCGACCGATAATCGGTATGGCCGATTATCGGGGCCGATATTCCGCATTTGACCGTTTATCGGTATCTGCCTTTTTTTTATCAAATTGCCGATAAAACTTTGGCTCCGTTTCTCTGGCTGCAGTCACGACTCTGTGTACACGAGCAATGTCCCGCCCACAGCGCTATCTGATAGGCTATTACTGAAGATTTTCCGGGCGGGAGCCAGAGAGGCGGGACCTTCTTAGATTACAGGCAGGTGCGAAAGAACGCAGACACAGACTGAAGCAAGCAGCAGCGCTGAGCGGCAGAGCCATACATGTGTTAAACCGAAGTTCAATAAACATCCCTATCCCCTATGCTGAAGTTGCAAAAACACCACGATCTTATGATCCAATTCTATCAGTTTCCCAGTTACACAGGGACGCGGGAAGTCAGTCAGAGTTGGGGGTGCGTGCAGCGTCTCGCAGCGGAGTGGTGGTGTGGAGGGGGGGGGGGGGGGGGGGGGGCTGCGAGTGGAGCCTGGAGCAATTACATTGCAAATACTGACATGAGCCCCACCACTGTATGGGTTATCCCTACCATAGATTACCCAACAAAAATACTCTCTCGCAACTGCCGACCCGTATTGCGCATGCGCAGATCTAAGATCCGGTAGAAATGATAAAAAAGTAAAAGTCTGCTGCTTATTGTTCTACTAGACCAAAATAGAGTCAAAGAGTATATGAGAGTGAGAGTGTGTTAATTAATATATTTGGCAGTTTGGAGTAAGTCTGTAGATTTGTTTGTGTGTGTGTGTTTCACGTATAGGCCTCTCACGATAATTAATTTTGTTGGATACATTTTCCCGGAAATTATTGCGATAAACGATAATATTGTCGGCAACGTTGTATGACCATTTTAGACCACTGACATAATGATAATAGTAATTCAAGTACATCCTTTCAAACTGCTAGTCACATCCTCATGTAAATGGAAATGTATCGAGTTCATTTCTATTTATCGTACGATAAGTCAATGAATTGCTTATCGCGACAGGCACACAATAAAACAGTGGAATTGTGTATTTGTATATATATCCTATATATATGCTAAGGTCCCGCTGCTGACACGATAGCAGTCATTTAGTGTGCATAAGTGTAATTAAACCCATGACATCAAAATCTCACTCCAGCCAGGAACCCAAAGTTGGCAACCCTACGGTATCGGCCTTGAAAAAGCCATATCGGTCGATCCCTAATTAAGACCGTACAATTCTCCAGCAGCCACTGTGTATGGAAAGTGATGTTAAACATGTATTTAAGTGGCTATCATTCAAACTGTATTGCAGCTGTATGTAAAGGCTGAAAGCTCTTCCTACAAATTGAATTGAAAATACAAAACAATTTGATTTGAATAAATATTCAATTAAAGCTGAAAGAGATCTAACAAACATGTAGCCACCTACAGACGCCTGTTTTTTGTGTATTTCCTTTTGGTGTTTGTGCATGTAGTTTTATGGATCTATTTACATGCATGTTGTAAATGAGCATTTCGCTTTAAACATTAATCATGGTGCATCTGGTCTTTGTGCTTAATGCGTGTTTTGCAAAATAATATTGTCTATATAAAATAATAATTTAAAAAATATTTCATGACGGCTCTTTAGAGAAGTGGGGTAACAATGTCAAAGAAGGATATTACGCAATACAAAAAGTGATGATGAACAATACATTGCAGTATCAACCTGTTCGGAACTGCTTAGTCATCAAACACACCTTTAACATTGGATGGTTCAAAATCAATACATTTTGCACACTACATTGATTTTCACCCGTTCTTTCCAATACGATGACAGCTCATGCTCTAAAGAAATAATGAAGCTACATGTGAGCCTTAAGTATATTTTGCAGGTGATGATATTGTTTTGCATGTGACTGTGTGAGAGTAGTATTGAACGCATCAGTGTTACCATGCTGTAAAACTGCATCTCTCTGGGCCCTCTGGGTGGGGGCTGGAGCTGCTTCAGGACCGTCCCATCTGGGTGCTGCAAGATCCCTGCAACAAATACAAAGACGCCACTGATCATTAAAACAAAGTTGATCAACTTAAAGTACAGTGCTTCAACGGTCAAATAATAAGTAACAGTTAATGAAATGAGGAGTTAGTCATCCGTTCTCAGCCCCCGTTCAGCAGACTGTATCATTGGTACATGTGTACACATTGGTAATGTGGTCAGCACTTTATTCAGAACAGAAGTGGTTGTCACGAGTAAACATTAACAGTTCACTGGGTTCCCACTGTGGGTGAGGTTAATGTTACACAGTGAATCAGACAACCTGCTGTCATCTATCAAACACAACATGGACAGCAGCACTAAAGTCAAGAGAGACAGGGGGAGCACTATGTAGACACAGTTTGAGAACATGGACACAAAACAGTAGAATCCGTCAATATGGGGGTGATTGTATTTATTAGGAAATGTCTAACTGAGAGGAACATTTCAAAGAAATAGAGAGCAGCATAAGGGACTTGTCTCTAGAAGAGATAAGCCAATGACATGTATGCATGAGCGTTCAAAGAGAACCTCTCGTGCCATCATTACCCTTTAGTTTACACTACCTGCTGACACACATAATGAAGTCAAGACTCTAAATAGCAATTGAGACTATAAACGGATTTGTACAATGTTAACCCATGTAGTTAATCAACTACCAAGTAGTAGGGTCCTTTTCTCATACACTTCTTTACAATCAAACCTATTTTAGCTACAAGTGAAGTCGCTCCCTGCTGGCCATTAGAAATAATGAGGGTTTAAGGAATCCATTTTTAGACTCCTAGGTTGCAGCTTGATTTGGATGGAAGTGTCATGATCTTGCTTCCATTAAGAAAGGGCTTTCTACCTCTGATCACATGTAGGAGAGCTGCAGAGAAACATGTTTAGAGTTACCAGGCAAATACATGTTGGCTGATTTGGTGGGGTTGTATTCATTCATCACAACCAGGGAAGCCAGTTGACTGACAGGCACATGAATATGATGGTTTATCAGACAACACATTGCACTGAGGTCTACAGCTGTGAGGAGTTCTCGGGTGATGAGCAAGCTTCAAGTGTTCTGCCAGGTCAGGCCTGATTAACAGTCCAACATCGATACAGCTTTTCAACAGCAAGGACTTGGGTCAGTCACACTTTCAAAACCATACATCAAAATGTAATTCATACTAACAACTAAAGCAATTCACACTTCAACTTACTTCCACATCATTCAGTATGAAGTAACAGTATATATAGCTCTAATATAGGGATGTAAGGCGCGGAGATTCTAGAATAGTTGCAAAGAGTCAAATGACTGACTAAAGAAGTAGTGTTTTAACTGTACATTAAGCAAGGAGGGAATCTGACAGTCCAGATGAATACTGCGAATAAGACCAAAGTGTAAACATAACTCATGTGTTTGTACAGGCCACACCACAAGCTATTATATGAGATCCAGCCATGACTTGAACACTGCAATATAACTGTTTCTTATATGAGAATGAGGATACGTTTAAAAAGGTGTTGTATTCAATTACTAATTGCAGTAATCAGTAATGAACAGATGGCCTGAGTAAAACTGCATTAGAACTGACTCGTGTTTTTCTTTGAAATAGTCAGTCAAGCAATCGAGGCATCTAGGCTTCAAAAACAAGTGCTCTTCCTTTGTGAATATTCACTTTCTGGACAAACTGTGTGAGTTTCATAAACGTATGTTAGCCCATTTTTTGCAATAATCCAAAATCATATTAGATATTTGTTTGGAGATGACCAGCATGATGCTGACTTCCAGGTTCAACCCACACAAAGATGTCCTTCCCGCAGCATTATAGTGACTTGGCCACCCAGGTGGATCAACACAATAACGGTTGTAATGTCAGCAGCCTTATTATGAAAGCACTCATATTGGTTCACCTTATTTTGCCATTCTTGTGAGATATTTTAAAGTGTAAAACAGAACTGAGTGGCAACGATCAGTAGTTTGTAGCTTTGAGATTTAAAGTTTAAAAGTCCTGCCCCGCCTTCACCATGAAGAATTAGCATGCAGCAGCTGACAGGTGAACACTGAGTAACACAGCGGCAGCCGGACTTTCACCTTTGCCTTTCTGTGTTGCATCAGATCCTGTGACTACATTATGATCCAACTAAACACACACACACACACACACACACACGCACCAACAGCACCCATATGGAAACTTCATCAGATTTGCATGTAAAAGGGCGCGTTTCCTGACACAACCCTTACATACAGCTTGTTGAACACTGCTTGCCCCTGCTTTCATTGGAACTAATGAAACCTGCCTCAGTCTACCATCCATGACAATCTCTACTTTTCTGCCCATCACTTACACACATTTAAACACAGACCTACAAACTGAAGGCCTGAGTAAACAGGCTGATGCTCAGTCAGTTCAAGCTGAACAGGATCCACTGCTTGATCGGTTACAGAGACTGCAAAACAATGTACTCTATCCTGGCTGTTAGTTTCAACATGCTATAATATGCGGCCTGTGTTAATGATTGTTCACTAGCGAGCCCAAGGAGGGACTCCGATAAGATCATTACTGTCAGATGTACTGCATTCCCTACTCCTGTTTGCGTGTGGATCGTGCAGATGAGACATGAGACATTCCGGAGAAATCAACACAGCTATAATCTACAGAAAAACTCTCACGCATCATTTCACACATTTAGATTGCATTGATCAGATTACATATTAAGATGGCTTATACATTTGATATTTCATTTACTGCGTGCAAACATGTTCCATGGCAGTTTATTGCTTCATTCCAGCAAAAACTGCTTTAGCTGTCACTTTTAATTTCAGTAGAAAATCAACTAGGAAATAAATAAATGCAATATTACACACTTCTAGTTCTGTCCCACTCTGTGTTCACACCGACTCATTTCCAACTAACCCAGAGCAAAGATACATTACACAAACATGGATCATGATCTGCTAGTAGCATTATTAGACTGAAACTGGAGTTAAAACACCATATTAATAACATACAGGTCAAAACAGGAAAGGTTCGCTGGAAAGCCCATTAACTTAACACAGTGAACCAAAAGGAAATGAAATGTTTGTCATTCCAAAGAAAACTGTGATGCAAGGCTACATCAAAGGGCTCAGGTTAAACGGGTACAATTCAGCCAGAGCAACTTGTGGACAGACAGGTTGGTCCTGTTGACGGCAGGCTACAGGACACTCCTGAGGGCGATTAACACACATCATTACCATGTGTGTTCCAGGAAGTTGATATATACAGTCTTTGGTTGCCATTCATGGAGGTAACCGACTGATCAGCTATGACTCACATGTCTGAAAGGCACTTTTACTTCCAGTATCATGCTCAACCAATGCAGCTCTGCACCTCGCCTGATAACACATAATGGCTCCTTTAATAGTGTCAGATGTCCTGCGTAGCCTATAGGAGTGTGAGACAGTAAAGGTGACTACAAAGGCACAAAGTATCTCTGTTTGATCATATTTAGTGCAGAGCTTTACAAGTTAAGATGTAGCTGGGGTAGATGAGTAGTGAGAAAGATAATGTATTCATTTCCACAGGTGAACGTCAACAAGGCTGGGACACTGACAATGACTCGTTCATTCCCCCCGATAGATACTATATGTAACATTAACGCATATCATGTGACACCAAATACTGTGAACCTCGCACTTCCCATGTATATTCTGCATATTTATTGTTGTACTTTATTGTTTGTATATTTGGTGTATTTATATTTATTTTAAACATGTATTTGTATTATAAATGGCTTACGTTTTTTTTCTTCCAATATTTGTATTGGGGGGAATTAACGAGTCATTGTCAGTGTCCCAGCCTTGTTGAAGTTCACCTGTGGAAATGAATTACATCTGATGTACTGTGGCTGAATTGTACCCGTTTAACCTGAGCCCTTTGATGTAGCCTTGCATCATTTTTATATTTGTTCCTGTTTTACAACTGAATTCCTCACATTGTGTTTATGTATGCACCACTGTACACCAAAAGCAAATTCCTTGTAAGTGTAAAACCACTTGGCGATAAACCTGATTCTGATTACAATTTGCATGCTGCTCCCTTAAATGACATCTCCTAATTCACTCTTGCTGACAGCAATTGTAGGCTATAGAATTAGTAGAGTTAGGCCTTTTGTGAATTTCTTCTTTTTCATTGTTTAGGTTAACTGATCTTCCCACACAGGTTTTCCAATAACAAACTGTGGGTGGTGCAGTCTGAGGAAAGTTGTAGATAAGAAACTGTTGGTGGGTTGTTTGTGGGCTAAATGTTCCCCCCAATCTAAAAGCAATATATTATCCAATTCACAACAGTTGGCAGCCAGGTGTAAACAAATTGATCTATTATTTTAATGACAGAAGCTTTAATCATAGGAAAGGTCTTGTCCATGTTACTTACCCACTGTATCCACTCCATACTTGTGACCCGCCACCTGATGTGACAGCGGGACGCAGCCGTTCAGGTGAGCCTGGCCTTGTGGCCCCGGTGACCGTTGACCGGACTTCTCTTTCCCGGGGTGCCCGGCGGAGAGCCGCGGGGTCAGGCTGACCCCAACAGCGCCTGAGCTGGGGGTCAGTTCCAGTCTTCCAAGGGCTAGAGAGGACTCCATCATCATTTGACGCTGGGTTGTTGACATTTGCAAACAAATATTTAAAAAATGGGGGGAAACAATCTTTGTCTAAGAAAAAAATAAAATAAAAAAATCAACCAGATGACTGAATTGATTCACATGCTGTTATTATGTAAGCACACAATACAGCCCAGAACACAAATTGTTAGGGCGTGAGTTTGAGAAGCCCTCATGGAAATGGTCCAGTCCAGGCGAAACCAGCACAGCAACTTCGGTCGTGTCTGCCGTGTTCGACCACCGACAACAGTCACGGGCAGCAACAGTGTCGTTCCCCCCGCTGTGTCCGGTTGCGAAACAGGGCTCCCGAACCAGCGTGAATTGAGTGATTTTCATATCTTAAACAGAAGCATAAATACACCCTGGCCACATCCCACTTCCTAGTAGTGTCAAATAGTTTGAAGGCAAGGCCGACTTCCGTTTGCAACTTCCAAAATAAAGCGAATGGAGATATCGAATCTGCAGTGTACCACGGTATTAATAAATCGTTGATATATGTTGCTATTAGAGCCGCCTGTCGTTGTGTCAAAGTGTTTAGACTCTGTCCAATCTCAAACGATGTTGATCAAAGTCAAACCAAATACATTTGGCATATTTATTGTGAAGGCAAGGTCAACCCACTTCCGGTCTCAACTTGATCACGTTCTGCTAACCTGACGCAACTTCACTTCCTCGGTCCAGAGAAGTAAATACTGTTGTATCTCAGTAATGGTGATATTACGACACACTTAACAGTGATATCCAGTTCCAGTCATCAAATAGAGAAGCAGGCGGGGCGAATGGAGACAATAAAGTGTCGAAATTGCATAAAGGGCCATTCATCAGTCCTTGTGTTTGCTAAGTCATCGATACTGTCCATTAGGCTGCTAAGCGAGCCCTTCCTCGCGTCACAATTCGGCACACCAGAGGGACCTGACACTTGTCGTACAACCGTCCTCTAGACGAAAGGCAACCCGTTCAAGATGATCACAAAAAAGATGCATTATCGTCCTTAAATCCATCATATTGGATTGTATCTCAGTTGTAGATATCCAGGTGAGTGTAGGCGGCTACCTCTCCGTACCGAACAGCGCCCAAAGCCTCCCACACGTTTGCGACAGTTTCCAATAGTGCCGCAAATCATTCCTTCACATCAACTGACAGTTCGGCCCAATCCCAAACCAAGGCCCCGTCTCAGGTCGGTTAAATTAAATCCTTGCTTCCCTCACTTGCGTCGTTTCCCTGCGACTAGTCCCTCGCACCAGGGAAGCATGGAGAGACGCAAGGAAACCACGAGAAGCAGGGAAATGAGTTTTAAGAGCAATGGGACGTCCTTTCCTCCGGAGCGTCACGTGAAGCGACGTCCGTTTGTGATGACGCTGCACAGCTGATCGTCTGACAGCAGCTCTGTCCCCGTTATTTCCACACACACCCCCGCCTCTGTTTGTACACATTTACTGACACAAACATGTGTATCATCTGTTGCAGACCCAAATAAATAAAATAAAATAAGAACTCATTCTCAAAAAAGATAAACGCCATTCTTAAAATGTATAAACGAACAATAGTTTGATTAATATTGATTAGAGTGCACAATAGAAATAAAAATAATTGAGAGAAGAAAAAGAGATATGTTATCTATCAAAACCCAGTTAGATTAACATTCATTGGATTGCACACTTTGTGTGTTTGTGTGGATATGTAGCACATTAACATTTTAATAGCACTTAATGACTGACTGAATGGAAATGACAATAAATGAAAATGTAAAACGAAAAAAGCGATCATGAAATTGTTTCCAACAAATGAATAAAATGATTTTTCACCACTTTGTTGTTCAGATATATCACATATTTGTAAATAAATGATACATGAATTGAAACAAAACACAGTATAAACTGAGGAGTGACTCCCGTGAGGTTCATGTATTTTCTTCACTCCGCTGGGAAACGGCTCTCATGTCAAGAAGCATCAGATCAGTGCATGCGCTGCATCGTCCAATCAGTGAGCGATACACAGTAAGGGGGCGGGGCGAGTGTCTGAGGATTTCATCGGAGGATGGTCTGGTGGTTCCTCGGTTATCGCTCCTCCATTATCGCTCCTCGCTCCTCGGTCCTCGGTCCTCCGGCAGAAATAAGAGCCACGGGACGGTACTCAAGATGGTGCAGACAAATCAACTTCCGGTGAGACCGAGGAGCGAGGAAATGAAAATAGTCGACCTGAGACAGGGCCCAAGTCATACACATTACCCCTCCGTGACGGAGTGAACTCTGTGGAGTGACACTCGCAGCTCAACGAGGCTCCCTCTTGTCAGATGGAGGGAGTAAATACAGCAGCAAGCTTTGGGACAAACTCCCCTCTCTCCGGCAGAAACAGGAAATGCCATGTGTAACAACGGTTTCAAATCAGCATCTCTTAGACAAAAAATAAAAATTCATAACTAAATTAAAACTCCAAAAATCTTTAATTGTGTTACTTCTTCTGTAAAGCTCTTTTAGTTTTAAACCTGATTTGTATAAGCTTCTTAGTTTTTACAACAATCTGTAAATATACACAACTTTATCATAAAATGCACACATTTACCTTTTTCTAGATTAAACACAGGTACGATCCTAAATTAAAAACATATGAGATTATCATGAGGTTGTTAACATCGCAATTTATCAGTGGATGTTTGCTGGAACTACTTGTTAACAGCGTGTTTCCTGAGGGACACACACTGCGTTGAGACCGGCAGGGGCGCGGGAAGGGGGGGGGGGGGTGAGGGCGCTGCAGCACTCCCTAGCGGCAGGCGGAGCAGAGCTCCCCTGTCTGCACATTTATTTTATTTTTATATATTTATTTCATTTCATTGTGCCTGAGATTATATTTTATATGATACATTATTATTCAAATGATCATTTAAAACTATATGATAACTTATTTTGCTTCAGGGAAGAAAAATAAAAAAGATGTGGAAAAAAACGTTTTTTGTTAGGAACAGTATAACCCTAACCCTCAGTCGGCTATTTTTAACGTGACGCACAACAACACAAGTAACTGACATGGCGCAAAAACGTATCTCGGAATTTGTTCTCTCCATATCATGTGCATAATCTGTATATGTATCAATATCATGTTTGTGGTATTTTAATTATTATTTTATGGTTATAGCTGCTGCAACTGTGCATAATCTGTGTAATATGTAGCCAATACATTCCACATTGTTGGTAAAATAATATTTTACATATTTGTAGTGTGTGTGTGTGTGTGTGTGTGTGTGTGTGTGTGTGCTTTTGTGCATGCTAGTGCCCGTAATAGTGTTCACTAGAGTCCATTGTTATGCCACTGTCCGTGGCCCATTCCCAAACCGCCCGCTACACCCTACCCCTCCGTTTGCGCGGAGGGTCCGCCATATTAAGTGCTGTTCCAAACCAACGAGTGTGGAGCGGTGTGGAGCATGGATGTATAATAAGAACTGGATACAGCGTGGGAGGCGGGGCCTCATTCATTCCTATGAAAGTTGCTCATTGGCACATGATAAAATGGCCCCAACTTTTGCTTTTGAGAGAGCGAAACGTCACAGATTACCCGGCATGCCTGAGAAGTACCCAAATGTGCGCACATAGCGCATGCGCAACTTTAACCATGCCCCCCAAAATGCTCGTTCACATCAAGCACGTCAATTTGCGTACACGTAACAGCACCTCACGTTCATGACAGCATGGTACTCGATTGTTATTATGATGGATTTGATATTAACGAGGCAGCAGTTAGCAGCTAGCTGCTAGCTAGTAATTATGCTAATTTGCACATCAATCGTTATGTACTTTTATATTACGCTGTAACAGGATCTAGTGATATCCAAGCAACAGAGTTTAATTTAGCATGAAATAATTATTGCACTGTATATATAGGCCTATATATATATATATATATATATATGTATATGTATATATATACATATGTACATATATACATATGTACATGGGCGTAGGAAGCATCCTCAATGTGGGTGGGACAATTTGACGCGGGGTGTGGGCAGGTGGTGGAGGGAGGCGTGTGGTGCAGTGCGTTGTTTTTTTTTGGGTCAGGGGGGCACAGGTTCAAACCTCACTGCAGTCAGCGTGTCGTTGTGTCCCCCCAAATTGCTCCTGTGGGGATTGTCCACAGTATTGAGTATGTTAGTCGCTTTGGATAAAAGCGTCTAACAAGTAACATGTAATGTAATGTAATATTTTTTTAAATGTTGAAGTTAAAAGCATCAATCTGGTGCACTTTGAGAGCAAAGTTAGGGACTAGATCTATGGATACATCTCTCAACACCCATATGAAACAGAACTGTTTAAGACAGACTTACTTTTTTTGAATGCATATTTTACAAATCACTCCCCTTTTAAACTGTATTTTAGTTTTACTGTCGTCTGAGCTGGAATTATTTCATACCTTTTATTCTCTTATTTTGTATAATGATCATATAAAAGATGTGCCTTGGAAATACTTGTTTACATGAGATAACTTAGAGTCTTAGACTAAAGTCTCTCGTTCACTCTCTCTCTCTCTCGCTCACTCACACAAAATGCGCTCCTCGTGCCACACACACAGCCGAGCTATGACACACAAAGACCCATAATAACTTAATGCTGTATCCTATTCTTTTCGATGGCTTTATTGTATGATAAGACAGAGGAACAGATCGCCACCGGGCTTACAACTAAAGACACAGCTACGCACAGAACGCAGCATGTGTATGGCTCTGAGAATCTGCCTTGGTACAAAGTAGCAGGGAAAACATGGGACGGAGTTTCATTGATTTGGGCATTCTCTCAATAAGCAAGTGGAATGGATTTGATAATGAAGCACCGACACAGCGCTCTACAAAGGGCGGCGAGTGGATAGACCGATGCACGGACTTTCCACATGGGGGGGGGTCTAAACTAATCATTTTAAAGGTGGGGGGGACTTGTCCCACCCTCATATAATGGCTGCGACGCCCATGCCTATGTATATATACAGTGCAATAAGCTTCTTAGTGGAATAAGAAGCTACAGGGACGTTAATCTACGTCGGTAATATTAACTTTATTTAATACAACATTTACGGTACAAGATTTAATCATACAGCCCATGTAGTATAATATTTTACAAATGATGAATTACAGCAAACATGTGCAATATATCCATTATTACAGCTCCGTGGGATGGCAGTAAGGCGATATGGGTCCGTTCTTATTGTGCATCCATGGGTAAAGATAAACCCATGTAGTGCTGAACACGTAACTTGAACGTGCAGGGCGGCGCGGTCCCGTGGGTTAGATGCGCGTTCATAATGCAGAGGGAAATAACTCTCAGAATAACGTTATTAGCACATTTTTACAACTTGAGGAACGAATGTTTTTAATAAGGGCTATACAAGTGTTCATACTGGGTAGTTTATTTAGTTTCAAAAAAATTATCCAACGATTTACAGACCACTCTTTCTTTCTTTCCACTCTTGACTTACATTGGGTAAGTCAATGGGAAAAAGTGTTTCCTGGCCTGGCAACCAAACAGAAGTGTAGTACCGCCGTTTGGCCATTTGGTCTAACCCTAACCCTAACCCAAATAAAAAAGGAAAGTGAAACTTATGCTTATCACCCTCTCCCACATTAATACAAATGATCCCAATATGTATGATTGTATGAACTATGAAAATATCTTAAAATCAATACAAATGTATTTATTATAAACGTTAGTCCTTAACATCTAACACTGTGTATATCACCATTCAAACATCTTTTAAAAGTTGAACAAACCCCACACAGCTCAGTAAAGACTGTGAAATGTTGACTTTATTTGATCATTTCAGTAAAAACTAACGTTCATATTTCTCTTTTTGATTATAATACTGATGAACGTTCAGAAAAAAGGACTTTGGCAACTTACCACATACGTTTTAAAATGCTTAATAAGCACCGTAACTTTCATGATATCATTTCTCGGTCATAATCGGTTGTTTCCGTGAACGGCCAACTGTTGAGTGACGGCAAATGCTGCGGTTGCAATGCATTGTGGGGCAGCATTTTCTCCTCTCCTTTCGGTTAGGGAGGTCCAGTGGTTCCTAAGCTAAAGGAGGTTATAAAGGAAGTTTGAAACCTCCTTTCCTTCATTTGGAGAATTGGAACGGCACTTATCATGGCTGCCACTGAGGGACTTCCGGGTCATTTCACTTGGTTAGGAAGGTTCCTAAGCTAAATGGACTATTGGAACGCAACCCCGGATTAGAAAGTCAACATCTCACGATCTTTACTGAGCTGTGTGGGTTTTGTTC